TTTTATATTATTTTTATGTATGTATGATGTAGCATGCAGCCAGTCCATATGAGTTTAGAAATATTGTACTTTATGTCCTATACACCCATGAGTAAGTGTTTTCACTATATCAGTATTAATATGGATGCATGTCCAAAAAAGAGATAGTCAGTATCGATGTAGAGTGACCAGATCTCCTCACCGACTACATTCCCGTATGGTCAGCATACCTGGCCCACGTCTGCCACGATATCACTTCCAGCAGATACCATGGCCACCACGTAAACCTCGTCACTGACATTTGACCTTTGTGGGTGGGCAGTGCTGGACACCAGGTGACTTCCATCACCGCTGACCTGTGTCCGGTCCACACTGGTTAAAATGATGCACAAGTCAAAGGCATCCCAGTGGGTACCTCCCAGTAATTACCCTGTTGCTAAGTCAAGGACTGGGAGGTGCCGCGGTTAAATAGTGGAAGACCAGACCCAAGGGCCACCCTCATTATCTCCACCCCCATGTCAGTCACAGGATTGTTTGGTCCTGACTCGATTTTCTACAGACAGCAGCAGAACTAATGCAGCAAAGTGACATAGCATCGTCAATCGGTGAGAAAGTCCAGTCCAATATTCACAGCATGTTACTGTGTCTGACATAGCATGAATATGTCGGAGTACTGAGTAGATTTGGCTGATATTTCAAGGCAGATCACATCCCTGTACAGTGTGCTTTGTATTTGAATGGCAGTGTTTCATAATTTAACAATGCTGCCATATTTCAACTATTACTGATTTGAAGAGATGAATAATTTAGTGCTGAGAAGAAGAAACATGTTTCCAGTATGATACAAGACTAAAACTATATGTTGTAATAAGCAGTGGGACAGGTAGTCTGTGTCACAGTTCCTGAACCATGTTGTTTCCCCACCCAACCTGTACTGTCATTCTAAACCTCTAAATGAAGAATGGCGAGATTTTCCACAGGTCAAGGGCCAGTTCCTCCATAAGAGCCAGCATTTCTTATAAAGGGCTCCAAGTTGAGGGATCCCTGCTGTGGGAAGGTTGAACTGCTGTAGTTCGTAGGATCTATTTATCTATGTGTTTTATTGTGTTACTTCGAGGGAGATGAAGGTGTTCATCATGTACGTCTGGTTGCCTCCCGCAGGGGGCCAGTCCTAGGCTGTTGGGTCTCCTGCTGTAAGTACTGTTGTAGGTGGGGGACCCATAGATGTACACACCACATTTTACATTTCCTGTATGCCTTCAGTCAATATTCGATAGTCCAATACCTGTGACGGTATATGTAGAAGACAGACCATATATTGATGGAACATTGTCAACGCTTGGGTTGATGGTTTGATGTGGGGATGGACATACTCCTGGAGTGTGAGGACAGACTCGGGGTGTTATGTTTTCTGTGTTGGCTGCATCCTTGATTATTCGTAAGCTCTGGCTTTTTGTTTTATCATAGGACTGACACTGTGTTCCGACATGTCTTGATTTGGAGCCTGCGTTTTTGATAGGATCTTCGTATCATTATTAAATTTTGAAAGGATCTTTGAGGGTGTACTCTGCAACACACTGTATTGTGAGGTTTACTTTCTCCTGAATGTCCTATTCGACATACAGCCCTACAGACTAGGGTGTACTCTGCAACACACTGTATTGTGAGGTTTACTTTCTCCTGAATGTCCTATCAACATACAGCCCTACAGACGAGAGTGTACACTACAACACACTGTATTGTGAGGTTTACTTTCTCCTGAATGTCCTATCGACATACAGCCCTACAGATGAGGGTGTACACTACAACACACTGTATTGTGAGGTTTACTTTCTCCTGAATGTCCTATTCGACATACAGCCCTACAGACTAGGGTGTACTCTGCAACACACTGTATTGTGAGGTTTACTTTCTCCTGAATGTCCTATCAACATACAGCCCTACAGACGAGGGTGTACACTACAACACACTGTATTGTGAGGTTTACTTTCTCCTGAATGTCCTATTCGACATAGAGCCCTACAGACTAGGGTGTACTCTGCAACACACTGTATTGTGAGGTTTACTTTCTCCTGAATGTCCTATCGACATACAGCCCTACAGACGAGGTGTACACTACAACACACACTGTATTGTGAGGTTTACTTTCTCCTGAATGTCCTATCGACATACAGCCCTACAGACGAGGGTGTACACTACAACACACTGTATTGTGAGGTTTACTTTCTCCTGAATGTCCTATCGACATACAGCCCTACAGACGAGAGTGTACACTACAACACACTGTATTGTGAGGTTTACTTTCTCCTGAATGTCCTATCAACATACAGCCCTACAGACGAGGGTGTACACTACAACACACTGTATTGTGAGGTTTACTTTCTCCTGAATGTCCTATCAACATACAGCCCTACAGACGAGGGTGTACACTACAACACACTGTATTGTGAGGTTTACTTTCTCCTGAATGTCCTATCGACATACAGCCCTACAGACAAGGGTGTACACTACAACACACTGTATTGTGAGGTTTACTTTCTCCTGAATGTCCTATCAACATACAGTCCTACAGACGAGGGTGTACACTACAACACACTGTATTGTGAGGTTTACTTTCTGGTGAATGTCATATCAACATACAGCCCTACAGATGAGGGTGTACACTACAACACACTGTATTGTGAGGTTTACTTTCTCCTGAATGTCCTATCAACATACAGCCCTACAGACAAGGGTGTACACTACAACACACTGTATTGTGAGGTTTACTTTCTCCTGAATGTCCTATCAACATACAGCCCTACAGACGAGGGTGTACACTACAACACACTGTATTGTGAGGTTTACTTTCTCCTGAATGTCCTATTCGACATACAGCCCTACTGATGAGGGTGTACACTAGAACACATTCTATTTGTGAGGTTTACTTTCTCCTGAGTGTAAATTGATCTGGCATCTGTCTTCCCTAGTTTATCGTCTTGTTATTGACACTTCCCCCACCATGTTACACTGTGTGTTTCTCCAAGGGCAAGAGCTAATTGGAGGTGGAGAGATAAGGGGTTAAATATTTGATTGCAATTAAGGCCATGTTGTCTGAAGCTGATTGTTGGGGGTAGGGACGACTTGTAGAAGTTGGGGTTTGGGGTTTGCACATGATGAGTCCATGTAGCATTGTGTGGTATGTGCAGTCGGCTGCAGCAGTGTGCAGTTGCTGTAAGGACCGGGACGCCTCGATGTGACAAACACACCTTGCACTGACTGTAGAACGTCCTAACATTGTTACTGATGAGGGGATTCTTCAAGAAATATTGGAAGATATTTAATTATTGATTAAAACTTGGACTTGTTTACACTTTAAACATGTTAAATGTATCTACACTATTTAGACATTCTGCTACAGAGGATTTTTTCTTGAAGATGCAATTGAAGATATTTAGTTATTGGATTAAAACTTGGACTTGTTCATACTCTAAATGTATCTACACTATTTAGACATTCTGCTACAGAGGATTTTTTCTTGAAGATGCAATTGAAGATATTTAGTTATTGGATTAAAACTTGGACTTGTTCACACTCTAACTGTATGTACACTACAACACAGGATGTATTCAGGCTGCAATCATGTGGTATGATGAGTGGACTGTCCGACTGCCCTGGCTCGGTATCAAGACAGAGGTTAATGTTGATTATAGCCTCAAGTGGTGCTCATTAACCGGATTATAGAAGGACCAGTATCTCAATCGTGTGGTCGTGTCGCTATACATCACAGTTGGCAGTGTACATTTGTTTCAAAATTGTGTTGTATGTCCAGCCATTGTGGCTATATTTCATCATGATATATATCTGTATATCTCCATGGGGATGTGGCTGTGTATCACATAGATGAGGCTATGTATCATGATATCATGGTCATATGTCAAGCATTAACAGTCCTGCTATGTTGTTTCCGTGTTTATAACACCCACAGTAGAGATGCAGATCTGTTGTTCCTGCAGTGAAGGATTGCTTACTCAGCTATTGTGTGCCACACTGATAACTGGGATGGATTAGATAAGTGTCATCATGCGTACCAGTATCAGTTACCATGGCAACAGTTCTAACTACAGCTGCTTGTGTGTGAAATGAAGTTTGAATGCTTCATATTTATTAAATGAATAACTGTCCGATTTTATTAATATGTGAACTAAATGATATTTATGTTATTGAAAGGCCCATTCAAACCAAATCATCTGTAAATAATATGATGTCTGTTAAAATGCAAAACCAAATATACGAGGATCAATATGAACCATTAATTGTTTAACGTTGAATTTTCTGCATTCTCATTTCTTGTCTTAATAATGTCAGTAAATGTAAACATTTCTATGTGTTGGACTGTATTTTTATCTATACAGCATTAACTGTTGCTAACAGCTGAAAATCATGATAAATGATGACTAGTTTTGGGAACTGGTTGAAATCTCACAATTGATGATTGGTTCATAAACAAAGAGCAATCATTGGCATCATTTTTCAGATTTTCCTGTTATTGCAGATAAGTATGAAGTTATCTGTTGTTTTTATTTATTTAGAAAATGCATTTGCAAATTTCACATCAAATGTGAAATGATGCAACTTACGACTTAAAAGTGAACTCTAATATATCATGAACATAAACTTCCTGGAGTCTTCAAGAAATATTTAGTCATGACTTTTCAGTAAGTGAGGTGTGAGTTCTCTGGGAATTTAGTTCATTTTCATACCCTGACAACGTCTAAAATATGTTCCATCATCAAGTGTTTCAAATACTAAAACAGTAGTTCCAAAATCGTTCAAGTTCAATTAAGAGAAAATGTGACTGATTGCTTGGTCGTTTGGTCACTGAGTCCAGTCTTTGATCATTTTAATTAATCGGAACACAACTAGTGTTGACACAGCACATATTTGGTCGGATCAGTTGGCGTCAGATGGAATAATTACTGTCATGTTCCCCGCACACAACAAGCGAGTACTTGAAGTAACGATCGATGTTTGTATTACAGAAAAAGGCCAACGGTGGTGAGCTGATGGAGCAGATCTTCTACTACCTGGACATAATAGAGAAGGACTACTTCGGGCTACAATACACAGACGTCCACAACGTCAATGTGAGTCTACCTGGCTGACTGAGTGTCTGTTGTTGTTTAACGCTGCATGTCGCAATACCCTGGCTGTATAACAGCGGTCTAGATAATCAAGTTTGGACCAGATAATCCAGTGATGAACACCAATTTATGTAATTATGTAATTGTGGTGTGAAGATATGAGTCAACCGTGCTGTGAGCCTGACCAACCAAGTTGTACTCTGACAGCATCGTTTGCAGAAAATCCAGTGCTAACCAACATCCCTCCTTAAGGTTGTTCATGCTGTCAACCACTGGTCTGTCTCAGCTGTACTTGATTAAAGGCTTATGTTACACTGTCACAACTGTTGACACCCGTGAAGATGCGGGTTAGATTTGGTTTTCAGCAACCCATGCTTGTCGCCCCGTGTAGATCCGGATTAGAACTGGTCTTCAGCAACCCATGCTTGTCGCCCCGTGAAGATCTGGGTTAGAATTGATCTTCAGCAACCCATGCTTGTCTCCCCATGAAGATGCGGGTTAGAATTGATCTTCAGTAACCCATGCTTGTCGTAAGAGGCGACTAACGGGTTGGTTGACACATGTCATTGTATCCCAACTGCACAAATAGTTCATGATGTCGATAACCAGATTGTCTGGTCCAGACATGAACATTTACAGACTGCTGCCATGTAGCAGGAATATTGGTGAGTGTGGCAACAAACACAGCTGTTGACAAACCAGTGTTGTTTGTGATAGCACCTGTATGTTGTTTATGCTATCAGCCACCAGTTTCCTTGTCCTGTCACAGCCAGGCTGGGATATAGCTGATGGCTGGCAACTTGCTGCTGTAACTGGGACAGTAACAGTGGGGTAGCCCTATTGGTCAGGTGTTCTTGTCGGGCTGAATGCTATGGTTTAATTCCAGAAGTAAAGCCGTGTGTGCCCTGCTGTAATATACCTGTAATATACCTGTAACATGTCCCGTGTTGTATTGTCCATGTATGGTTGTTGCAGCACTGGCTGGATCCCACCAAACAGATCCGCAAGCAAGTCAAGAGTAAGTATGTCTTCACCTTGCTCAAACAAACATGGCCGTTGTCTGGGGGAACCGAAACAGAATATAATCACCGTCATTGATATCAAATTCAAAATTATGATATTTTGCTGTTTTTGAAGTTCACTGTAGCAGTGTTTTGGGGGGTTTTAAATTTACGTTCTCAGTACTTTTAAACAAAATAACAATTTTGTCATTAACTTCAGGCTTAGATGTTAACCGGTATGGCAATCGCATGTGAAATCTCGTGGGTGAAATCCTGCGAGTGGGATGTGTTTCCGATCGTCAAGTGAGTGATGTTAGAGGTTCAGTTCACAAGCACCAGCAAGATGAGGAGGTATTTGTTTGGCAATTGGCAAAACAAACTTGGCTGGACTGCTGAAATTGACATTGTAAATTGACAGTGAGATTAGACAAATACGGATCAAGTTGGGTCATAATATAACTCCCCAAGCTTCTCCCATACCATGTTTCCCCATCTTCATCTGGTGGTGTTTTGCTGGTTACTGGATGGGCACCACATGATCAAGATATCACCTTCCACTGTACTGTAGCAGTCTACCTGTAGCAGAGCACCTCTAGCAGTCTACCTGCAGCGGTCTACCTGCGGCAGTGTACCTGTAGCAGTCTACCTGTAGCAGTCTACCTGTGGAAGTCTACCTGTAGCAGTCTACCTGTAGCGGTCTACCTGCGGCAGTGTACCTGTAGCGGTCTACCTGCGGCAGTGTACCTGTAGCAGTCTACCTGTGGAAGTCTACCTGTGGAAGTCTACCTGTAGCAGTCTACCTGTGGCAGAGCACCTCTAGCGGTCTACCTGCAGCAGTCTACCTGTAGCAGTCTACCTGTAACAGTCTACCTGTAGCAGTCTACCTGCGGCATTCTGTCTGTGGAAGAGCACCTCTAGCAGTCTACCTGCAGCGGTCTACCTGCGGCAGTGTACCTGTAGCAGTCTACCTGTGGAAGTCTACCTGTAGCAGTCTACCTGTGGCAGAGCACCTCTAGCGGTCTACCTGTGACAGTCTACCTGTAGCAGTGTACCTGTGGCAGTGTACCTGTGGCAGTCTACCTGTGACAGTCTACCTGCAGCTGGTATCTTCTTCACATGCTTTGTTCTATAATTCTGTAATATCTTCATAGAGAATTATATGGTTGTGGGAACCTTTTGGGAAGAAATTCATACAATTTTACACTACTGCATAGAAGTTAGGGCCTGCACAGCAGGTGAACGATTTCAATATGAAAGAAATGGGTGTTCCTTAGCATTTGTTTAGTATACATTATCCCAGAGGGTATGGTTAATCATTGGAAAACTAGAGAATTAAGCAACCTCCTTGTGTAATCTTTAGTTTATTCGACCAAATCACATGAAATGTATATTTGCAAGGCATGTCTTACTGAGGTCTACTTCCTTATCTTATTTGGAATGTGGTTTGTCGGAATTCACCTTGTTTGTCACAGGAAAACATGTTGCTTTATAATATGTATACTATCTCCTTGTTGACGCTATGAACCTCAACAATTCACCACAGAAGTAGACAGAGATTCACCATGTTAACAAAGCTAGTCTGGGGTGGATGCAGGGTCTAGACAGTGGGGTCCCACTTCCCCACTTTAGGTGTAAAACAAGCCTACCCACTTATTGTAGCACAATTTACAGATAATAACTTAGAACTGTATTTTTCTGTAATAGCAGTGTGTAGTATAGATCGTCAAATAACGTGACAACAGTATAGGTAGCAGGGCTCGATTTAGTGCTTTGTTACTTGCACTGGTGCAACCCAATATGATAAAGTGCAGCCTAGTTATTAGTCTAACTTGCACCTGGTGCAAGTCAATTTTTGAGTGGGTAAACTTCTGAATAAAACATCAAAATAATTCAATAGCACATTTCTTTCATTCCATATTGCAATAAAATCAGTGCAACTGGAATTTGGCTGGTGCAACTATGTTTTTATCTTAGGTTGCACCTGGTGCAAGTAGGCTAACATCTCTTAAATCGAGCCTTGGGGGGTAGGAACCTATACCAAAACATCGCTTTTACAGACCAAAAAGGATGTCACCAATAAATTGTCACCTATCACCTGAAAAATGCCTATCAACATATATTACAGCCAGCCTATTGACTGGGGCTATTTCCTGACATATATTACAGCCAGCCTATTGACTGGGGCTATTTCCTAACACAGAACGTTGTGACCTTGAGCTGCTGCAGTAAAGGTCAGATTACCTCTGGCTTATGTCAGTGGTAAAGATGTTCGAAACAACACAACTGTCTGATAATATCACCTACCACCTTGTTACCATGTTGACAAAATATGTTTATATGTTTTAGTAAGATACTTGATTTCATGCAAAATTTGACTTATATCATCTGAAATATCGTTCCTACAAATAATTTTTTTTTTTTTTTTAGCACAAAAATGTATTTGGTGTTTTTACTTTGCAGTAAATAATTAAATAAATTTCACTGCACAGATATTTCTGTTTCTGTTTTGATGTGTCTGGGCCTTTTGCTCTCATGCTTGTCTTGCAGGTACAGTGTCAGCATGCTCTTCTGTTACCTCTCCTTTGATTGGTTGATTCTGATTATTTACACAGATCCCTATTGGCTGGATACTGATGTCGATGCCAACGAGCCTGACCAATCAGACACTTATTCAGAGTCATGTGTGTAACGACACAGCTTGCTGTTTGGTCATTTTGTGGTGTTTTCTTCTCTAATATCTTTCTATTTCTGACAAATCTTCTTTTTTTCTGTCTTATCTAGCTGTCACAGCTTTCCGTGTGGTATGGCTTTTTCACTTCACTCGTCAATGATCATTCATCACCTAATATTGGCTCCATAGCAATATGTGAATAGGAAAAAACAGGCATCAAACAGTCCGTCCATCCGTAGTGATATGTTAGCAGCAAGGATTAAAGCTATCTGCCCAATTACATCAATCACTTACCCTTGAGTAATTTATTACCATTTTGCCAATTTCTCGTGTCATTGTGAAAAGTAGACTTTTCCAATTGAAGAAGTTAAACACGTTTGACAGATAAGGCTTGTGTACAATGTTTAGTGGAGATTACTTTTGATTGATTGGTTTCGTATTATATGTAAGGTGTTATAAATGCTGTGCTGCAATATCATTAACTTGGTATTTGAAAAATATGCAAATGAACTTTTACCAAATATGGACCTGATGTCTCAATGAGACCTTGGCTTCCTGTTGTGTTAGTGATAGCTGTGTACAGCACGCTGCAACATCTGAGGGGATCTGAATATTATGATCAATGGGGCAGTTTTCTCAAACATGTGTTCATAAACTATTTCTAAAGGTAAATCGTTGAATAACAATATATGTGTTAATGATTGATTAATTTAGAAATGGTATAAGCTGATGTCATAACCATATTGTCATTATCATAAATGTCATATGTTGGAAATAAAATGTGTGTTTTGTGCTTGCACTAGCAAGTTATATTTTCGTGATATTAACAGAACAAAGAGAACACTAGGTCAAATATGATGACAACATTTGTATTCTTCCCACCAAATGGTCACACAATACTCTCAGCTGGGGTGGGGTAGAGGAGTAGGTTCCGACTCTCAGCTTGGGTGGGATAGGGAGTACGTTCAGACTCTCAGCTGGGGTGGGGTAGGGAGTACGTTCAGACTATCATCTGGGGTGGGGTAGAGGAGTAGGTTCAGACACTCAGCTAGGGTGGGATAGGGAGTACGTTCAGACTATCATCTGGGGTGGGGTAGAGGAGTAGGTTCAGACACTCAGCTGGGGTGGTGTAGAGGAGTAGGTTCAGACTCTCAGCTAGGGTGGGATAGGGAGTACGTTCAGACTATCATCTGGGGTGGGGTAGAGGAGTAGGTTCCGACACTCAGCTGGGGTGGTGTAGAGGAGTAGGTTCAGACACTCAGCTGGGGTGGTGTAGAGGAGTAGGTTCCGACTCTCAGCTGGGGTGGTGTAGAGGAGTAGGTTCAGACTCTCAGCTAGGGTGGGATAGGGAGTACGTTCAGACTATCATCTGGGGTGGGGTAGAGGAGTAGGTTCAGACACTCAGCTAGGGTGGGATAGGGAGTACGTTCAGACACTCAGCTGGGGTGGGGTAGAGGAGTAGGTTCCGACACTCAGCTGGGGTGGTGTAGAGGAGTAGGTTCAGACACTCAGCTGGGGTGGTGTAGAGGAGTAGGTTCCGACACTCAGCTGGGGTGGTGTAGAGGAGTAGGTTCAGACTCTCAGCTAGGGTGGGATAGGGAGTACGTTCAGACTATCATCTGGGGTGGGGTAGAGGAGTAGGTTCCGACACTCAGCTGGGGTGGTGTAGAGGAGTAGGTTCAGACACTCAGCTAGGGTGGGATAGGGAGAACGTTCAGACTATCATCATCTGGGGTGGGGTAGATGAGTAGGTTCAGACTCTCAGCTGGGGTGGTGTAGAGGAGTAGGTTCAGACTATCAGCTGGGGTGGTGTAGAGGAGTAGGTTCCGACACTCAGCTAGGGTGGGGTAGGGGAGTAGGTTCAGACACTCAGCTAGGGTGGGATTGGGAGAACGTTCAGACTATCATCTGGGGTGGGGTAGATGAGTAGGTTCAGACTCTCAGCTGGGGTGGTGTAGAGGAGTAGGTTCAGACTATCAGCTGGGGTGGTGTAGAGGAGTAGGTTCCGACACTCAGCTGGGGTGGGGTAGGGGAGTAGGTTCAGACTATCAGCTGGGGTGGGGTAAGATCATATCATGCAGTATCACATCTCAATCATCAGATCATGCAGTATCACATCTCAATCATCAGATTACCCGTGAAGGTCCAGGTTAGAATTGATCTTCAGCAACCCATGCTTGTTGTAAGAGGCGACTAACAAGATCGGGTGGTCAGGCTCGCTGACTTGGTTGACACATGTCAATGGTTACCAGTTGCGTAGATCCTTGATCATGCTGTTGATCACCGGATTGTCTGGTCCAGACTCGATTATTTCCAGACCGCCACCATATAGCTGGAATATTGCTGAGTGCGGCTTAAACTAAACTCACTCACTCACTCACTCATTCTCAGTACTGTAGGGAAGGTTCATTCAGAGAACAGGTGTCCGCTCCTGTCTTGTAAGATGTAGGAAGATGTCCACTGTTCAGACTCGTTGTCTTGTAAGATGTAGGAAGATGCCCACTGTTGTAAGATGTAGGAAGATGCCCGCTGTTGTAAGATGTAGGAAGATGCCCACTGTTGTAAGATGTAGGAAGATGCCCGCTGTTGTAAGATGTAGGAAGATGCCCACTGTTGTAAGATGTAGGAAGATGCCCCCTGTTGTAAGATGTAGGAAGATGCCCACTGTTGATGCCCACAGACAAGTGACATGGCTGGAGTATCACCTGTATTTTGCCACTGAAATCTTCCATCTGATGAACATAGGGGCTACAGTTCAACATCATTCTGTGCAAGCTTCCTCAGTATTCGAAACATATCTGCCCAATGTTTGCTTCAGGCATTATGCTTCAAAGAACATTTTAGCATCAAAAGGTAGAAATCTTTCGGGGATAATTTCTAACATGCAATGAATACTGCTGCTGTGCTTCTGTCATCTGTGTGTTCAGTGTCACAATTAGTTGTATTACATGCGTTATGCGTCAACACGGAACATCTGTGTCACATCGGCTTTCTCCACAATCCTAGAGGATGAATGCATCCAGCTCATGTCCCTAAATATCTGGCAAGTCTGAGTTCCTCAGCTTTCAAATTAAGCTCTGTTCTGGAATCAGCTGGGTTGTATCGTTATTTTGTCATGGAGATTTCTTGGGCTTAATGTTGGTCTCTGACAGCTTAAGATGAATGTGAGTTCTTCTCCTTGCTTGATTGTTCTGGCCGTTGATTTGCAGGAGGATCTCTTGGTTAAATCTTCCGATAGTCCTGACTACTCTTCCACAAGGCCGGGTGAGCTGTAGTATAGGTCATTTCCTGTGTAGGACAGGGGCAACGAGGATCTCTTGGTTAAATCTTCCGATAGTCCTGACTACTCTTCCACAAGGCAGGGTGAGCTGTAGTATAGGTCATTTCCTGTGTAGGACAGGGGCAGTGTGTTAGCCCAGGGGTTTAAGTGTTTGCTAGTCATGCCATGGCCTGGGTTGAATTCCCCACATAGATACAGTGTGTAAAGCCCATTTCTAGAGTTACCATTTAAGTTGCTGAGTTATTGGTGGACGTTGTGTAGGATTCCTGTAGAACAGGATCGGGTTAGTGGCGTGGTTAAAGTGTTGTTGATCTGAGTTCAAATCCCCACATGAGTACAATATGCCATTTCCACTTTGACATTAGTGACGTTAAGCAAGAGTTTTCAGTTCAGTTTTCGGTGTTCAATTATTGAGTTCTGGGAAATCTTGGTCCTCAAGGTGTATTACTTTTGTAATTTTGTTTTTTGTTTTTTACTTTGGTTTAAAAAAATGTTGGGCCTTTGATTTGTTATGTTAGACAAGGCTACAAGGGACCTTTTGGATTTATCAATAATTTTGAATACTATATGTGCGGCATCACAGCCTGCCAACAGTCTGCCCAGGTCAACTCCCTGGAAGTGATTTTGATGTTTTCCAGCTGTGTTTGTTGTATCTACTCTAGCTCTACCTTGCAGTGTCAGAGGTAAGCCTCTAGCTCTACCTTGCAATGTAGGATGTAAGCCTTCCAGCTCTATCTTGCTGTCTATATCATTTGTCGGGTGAAGTTGGCAACTCAGATTTCATATCACAAAATATGTCTTCCTTTCCATGCTGCAGTCAGCCTCAGGTTAAACTTGCTGGCATGTCGTCTAGATTGATGTTTACTGGATTGTCTGGTCCAGTGGCGACAGCAGAAATACTGCTGAGTATGTCATTAAACAACAGTCCACATGCTGTAAAGATAATACTCGGGACAACTTGTCTTGCAGTGTTTACAGGACCAATTCCTGCGTCCTATACTCATAAAAATTGACAATGGACGCAACGAAATTTATAAGCGCATCCACAAGAACGTAGAAAAAGTCCAAATGCTTTTTGTATAAATTCCAATCAAGTAACAATAAGTTATCACTGAGTTTGCTTCTAGCTGGGTTATGGTATTATTTGCCATGTAATTACTGTAACACAATACAATAACAGTATTAATAATAATATTTAAGTGTCTGCAACCCCCCATTTTGTAGTCCAGGACCCCTGAAAATTAAGTATATGAGTCCCAGGGACCCTCAAATACAGGACTCTAGGTAAATCCCTGAGATTGTATTTTGCAAGGGCAAATCACTCAATGATGTGATGACAATCTATATATGGTACTTGCACTAGATATGGTTTATTGTAACATATAATGGGAAACAAATAAACACTTGTGTGATACTTGCACAGCTGACTAGATTTGGGTGGATACTGTTTGTGTAAATGATTCTTTTCATGAACCATGATAAAGGAGGTGTTCACATTGCCAGTCACAAGTCTGTCAGACTCAGCTGTTGACAGGCTCTCAGCAGGTCCTGATAGGTTCATGGTTTGCTGACTTTGGTCTTCCATGAAAGTTTCAAATAAGAAAACGTGTTCTGACCTTTCAAAACTAGTGAGTTAATATGAAAATGGTTTAATCAATACAGACTCTTGAAGCCTTCGACAAAACAACCAGGTACATATATAGAGGTCACAATGGGTTTCCTTACTTTTCTTCTCTAGAGGGAACCCTTTGAGAGGAAGAGTGTGAGCATGCATGGTAATGTTGGAGCTCACCAGGTCACACACACGATTCTGCTTACTAACATTCAAAGTCTGGTCACCTGAAATAATTCTCACCTTGCTCTAAATAAGCAGTGCATTGATTAACATGCCTAGGTTGACGTGACAGTTGCCATGGAAACAGCTACACACACAAAAACTTTGATCACATGAAAACGTCTTTAGCCGTAGGTTATGCACATTTTGCTAGAATGATTTACCTGTTTGTTGTATTTTTGTGACTTGTTTATTAGATTTCTTTCCCTTTTGTTTTAACCTGTTATATTTTTAATTTTACATATTGGTACAATTAAAAATTGCTGTGGCCTTAGAGTTCGGTTTTGTTTTGAACATTTTCAAGTTCTTTGTCTATTCCAGGGTTGATGTGATGATATTGTGTTACCCAGTGAAACTTGATCAATAAGTCAATGAGTCTTTAACCTTCCTGAACGTAATGTTTGTAATTTTCTCCTTTCTACTCGTTTTGTTCTTGATCCAAACCCCTAGGGAATTAACAGGGCCAAATAAGGTTAATAATTGCATGTCCCTTCCCCCTTATTAACGTTTATGGTAATTCATGACAGAATTATTGAATAATAAAGTATTTTTTGTTGTTGGTTGCCAGTTTAGCATGTTTGTGCATAGATCTTCAGTGCAAGTCAAGACACCAGTACTAGAGTAGAGAACATTCACCCATCACAATCAACTCACCATTTTTAACTTCTCTTGACATTTATATTTTACATATTTTATTATATCTGTAATATGATAATGGAAATTTGAATTGTTCATCTTTATTAAGCATGTCAAGCTGTAATTATTTCTTTGTTATTATTTCAATTTAATTTGACAATTATTTTCAGTCTTTATCATAGTCCGTCTGTATTTCAAAGATTATCATGGGAGCTTTGATGGTTGCTAGAAAAAGAATCTCTGGACTCATCATTGGATATTTTGTTTGCAGTTGGCCCTCCTTATACATTCCGATTTCGAGTCAAGTTTTATTCATCTGAGCCAAATAACCTCCGGGAAGAATTAACAAGGTAAGTTGTTTGTATTGGGAGTTTTATTCAGCTGTTAAGGGTATTACGGGAGTATTGTAGAGGTATTAGAGGGTTTATCAAAGAGTGAGAGTGTTAATGTCCTACAGCGTCCGTCCTGGCACAACCCAGGTCTCACTTCATGGATCACAGCTAATGGTCCCAGTATGTTGTGTTCCAGTAGCTTCTCTACTAGGTTCCTCTACAGGACAATAACTGTTATATTTGAGAAGTTTAACACCAGTGATCAGATTAGTTACTGGCTTCATTCAGGCCTGGGAAATAACAGGTATCAAGCAGCTATGAAAACGTATGACCGATTTAGCTGCCATGTTTACTAGAGTGTGCTAACTGAAGTTTCATGTTGTGACAATTGAATCACAAAATGTACTGATACTTATTTAATTAAACTGCTTTTGTGTGAACTTCCATGATTGCTGTGGAAAATTGGTTCCTACCAACCTCATGTTTTTGTGCTTGTTTTCTTTTTATATTTCTTTTTTCAAATTGGGTAAGAAAGTCCCGTCAGTTTTTGATTAAAGTCTTGTCCCAATGCGGTTTGTCTGTATTGCCAATAGAAGCAATGTGCTGCATTATCACTGCCAATTGGGAGAATACTCAGGCTCCCCATAGTCTCGGGTTATGGGGATGGTCTGGGAGGGAAGGAGGGAGAATACTCAGGCTCCCCATGGTCTCGGGTTATGGGGATGGTCTGGGAGGGAAGGAGGGAGAATACTCAGGCTCCCCATGGTCTCGGGTTATGGGGATGGTCTGGGAGGGGAGGAGGTGGAATACTCAAGCTCCCCCTGGTGTCGGGTTATGGGGATGGTCCGGGAGGGAAGGGGGTGGAATACTCAAGCTCCCCCTGGTGTCGGGTTATGGGGATGGTCTGGGAGGGAAGGAGGTGGAATACTCAAGCTCCCCCTGGTGTCGGGTTATGGGGATGGTCCGGGAGGGAAGGGGGTGGAATACTCAAGCTCCCCATGGTGTCGGGTTATGGGGATGGTCTGGGAGGGAAGGAGGGAGAATACTCAGGCTCCCCATGGTCTCGGGTTATGGGGATGGTCTGGGAGGGAAGGAGGGAGAATACTCAGGCTCCCCATAGTCTCGGGTTATGGGGATGGTCCGGGAGGGAAGGAGGTGGAATACTCAGGCTCCCCATGGTCTCGGGTTATGGGGATGGTCCGGGAGGGAAGGAGGTGGAATACTCAGGCTCCCCATGGTCTCGGATTATGGGGATGGTCCGGGAGGGAAGGAGGTGGATGATCCAAGTCACAGTTTGCTCTTTATTGCAGATACCAGTTCTTCCTCCAGTTGAAGCAGGACATTTTCCACAACCGTTTGCCTCTGGCTGAAGAAACCCTCATTGAACTCTGTGCTTTAGCATTACAATGTAAGTACACCCAGTTTGAAGTACACTGTATAAGTACACCCACATTGAAGTACACTGTATAAGAACACCCAGATTGAAGTGTACGGTGTTAGTACACCCAGATTGAAGTACACTGTATAAGTACACCCAGATTGAAGTGTACGGTGTTAGTACACCCAGATTGAAGTGTACTGTGTTAGTGCACCCCCATTGAAGTGTACTGTGTTAGTGCACCCCCATTGAAGTGTACTGTGTTAGTACACCCAGATTGAAGTGTACGGTGTTATTACACCCAGATTGAAGTGTACTGCGTTAGTGCACCCCCATTGAAGTGTACTGTGTAAGTACACCCATATTAAAGTGTACTGTGTTAGTACACCCAGATTGAAGTGTATTGTGTTAGTGCACCCAGATTGAAGTGTATTGTGTTAGTGCACCCAGATTGAAGTGTACTGTGTTAGTACACCCATATTGAAGTGTACTGTGTTAGTACACCCGGATTGAAGTGTACTGTGTTAGTACACCCATATTAAAGTACACTGTATAAGTACACCCATATTGAAGTGTACTGTGTTAGTACACCCAGATTGAAGTGTATTGTGTTAGTGCACCCAGATTGAAGTGTACTGTGTTAGTGCACCCAGATTGAAGTGTACTGTGTTAGTACATCCAGATTGAAGTACACTGTATAAGTACACCCAGGTTGTGCAGTGTACACTGTATGAGTACACTCTCGCTGTCCTCATTCAAACCTTGCAAAACAGTAGCATGCAGTGAGTTCTAACAAATCTGAAACATCTGGTACTGCTCTGTTGGGTTGTTACGTGTTTTTGTATGAGCAGTATTGTAACAAGGAGGTAATAAACTGTGCACGATAAATGTCCACATTCTGTGAGGTTCAGCCTCTGGATACAGCTGTTACAAACAGTAACACAGAATCTATGAGGAGTAAATACATTAGTAGGTGATACTGTGACCTCAGGACCCTGCATGGCGCTGGTGCCAGAATAATGGTATCTGGCTGCTCATTCAATGCATCTATCACAGAAGGGAAGGATCACAGAGCTGGGCTGTATAGTTGATGAGCCATCATCGGTGTAACGGGAGCATACAATATGTTCACTAGGTGGGGCAGAGTTTGGTTCCCTATCGTCCCAGGTGGTACAACTCCTGTCACCATGGCACTGCTCTTGTAATCAATACTGTGTCCTCCCAGGTACAAGTTCCAAGAGGCTGTGGTTTGGTGGTAATGGCTACCTTCAACACTCCTCTAATGTTGCAGGACTTGGTCTCAAGGACCTGTCTTACGTTAACACTGCATTTAGATTTTAGCAGAAAATGTCCAGAATTTGTCTTAAAATAGAATATAGCCTTTTGGGTGGTGTGTCTCATTGAAATGGTTATGTCAGATAATCAGAATCACAGGAGGAAGATGGGTGGTACTGTGTAATAATGTAATAATATCATGTGCAATAATGTAAATCCAGTGAGCCCTATAGGTTTGCCTAGTCCAGACTGCGGGATAGAATAACTCCCACTCACTCATTCACTCACTCACTCACTCATTTCGAAGCACAAGCAATGACTTTGTATTAACTTGTACTGTGAATAGAATCAAGTCCAAGTTATGTACTGTTGTGAACAGGTCGCGGTGGAATCCCATGTTTCCAGTTCTACTGACTACATAAAGTCCCACTGTTATTGATCAGATCTGTGTGTCAGCTGTTGTATTGAGCTGTCACCAGAAATTCACTGAGATTCACATTGTCCATTCGGGACAGGGACAGTGGTCATCAATTTGCTGATCATTTTGAAGACCACATGGTCAATCACCAACTTTTAACTCTTATCAAGGAACGACAAAGATCCCAGGGCACCACACCACACAAAGTTTCTTAAAGTTCTAAAACATGTTACCATGGTAACTTCTAATTCCATGCTTCGTCATAATCAGCACAAAGGGAGATAATTCTCCACATTGACCTGTGACCATGGCCAACTGTATGTGTTTACTTTACTGCTGAATGGACTTGATCAAAGACAGAACAGATATTGCTGTGGATTGTTGTGGAGTCTTTTGTGAGATTGGTGTTATCTAGAGTGTGAGGAAAGGAAGCCTGTGAGTTGGGGGATATCAGCTTTACAACACTGTAGTAAGTGTCTCCAACACTGAGAAGGGCTGTTTGGGAAGTTGATGAATTGCTGTGTTGAGGTAGTTCTCTGCGTGCGGACAATGAACAATGCAGGTATAAGGAAATAGATCTACAGGAAAACTTGCCATGCAGGAAACACTTGTCAGAGGAAAATACTCCTGTGAATTGGGTTGTGTTTGATCTGTATTGTTACAACTGCATATCACAGGTGATACAAGGCATTAACCAGGTGCATATTACAGGTGATACAAGGCAATAGTCAGGTGCTAATACTCGTGTGATACAAGGCAATAGTCAGGTGCAAATACTCGTGTGATGCAAGGCATTAGCAAACGGTGCATGTTACAGGTGATACAATGCAATAGTCAGGTGCAATACTCAGGTGATACAAGGCATTAGCCAGGTGCAAATACTCAGGTGATACAAGGCTTTAACCAGGTGCAAATACTCAGGTGATACAAGGCATTAGCCAGGTGCAAATACTCAGGTGATGCAAAGCATTAGCCAGGTGCAAATACTCAGGTGATACAAGGCTTTAGTCAAGTGCAAATACTCAGTTGATACAAGGCTTTAGCCAGGTGCAAATACTCAGGTGATGCAAGGCATTAGCCAGGTGCAAATACTCAGGTGATGCAAAGCATAAGTCAGGTGCAAATACTCAGGTGATGCAAAGCATTAGCCAGGTGCAAATACTCAGGTGATACAAGGCTTTAGTCAGGTGCAAATACTCAGATGATCCAAGGCATTAGCCAGGTGCAAATACTCAGGTGATGCAAAGCATAAGTCAGGTGCAAATGCTCAGGTGATGCAAGGCTTTAGCCAGGTGCAAATACTCAGGTGATGCAAGGCTTAAGTCAGGTGCAAATACTCAGGTGGTACAAGGCTGAAGTCAGGTGCAAATACTCAGGTAATACAAGGCGTAAGTCAGGTGCAAATACTCAGGTGATGCAAGGCATTAGCCAGGTGCATGTTACAGGTGATACAATGCAGTAGTCAGGTGCAATACTCAGGTGATACAAGGCTTTAGTCAGGTGGAAATATTTCAGGTGATGCCAGGCTTTAGCCAGGTGCAAATACTTGTGTGATACAAAACTTTAGTCAGGTGATGTTTTATACTGCTTTACACTTAGGACCTTGAATCTAAAGCCGCACTCCTAATTCTAGCACATGGTAGGATACAATGCATGTCATGCACCCAAAATACTCCAGGTAGAGTGTTAAGACTTGACAGGCATTCCATAATTGAGCCTGAGGAAATTACCTACATTGTTGTATGTTGTTTCAGCTGAGCTGGGAGACTATGACCCCGAGGTCCACACTCCAGGGTACATCTCCGAGTTCCGGTTCATCCCCAACCAGTCCGAGGACATGGAACTAGCCATCCATGAACAGTTCAAGAAGTGTGGGTGAGTACATGCAGTGTCTGCATCTGTCCTTAACGTGGGATGCTGGCAATGCAGGGATAACAGGCTTACTGCAAACACAGTAACATCCTGTGCCGTGACAGTTTACCTGTAAGATGCTGTGCTGTTTCATATCACCTGAAAGATCCTCTCTCTGTTGACCTGTAAGATCCTCTCTGTTGACCTGTAAGATCCCCTCTCTGTTGACCTGTAAGATCCCCTCTCTGTTGACCTGTAAGATCCTCTCCTCCCTCTGTTGACTCTCTCTGTTGACCTGTAAGATCCTCTCTGTAAGATGTTGACCTGTAAGATCCTCTCTGTTGACCTGTAAGATCCTCTCTGTTGACCTGTAAGATCCCCTCTCTGTTGACCTGTAAGATCCCCTCTCTGTTGACCTGTAAGATCCCCTCTCTGTTGACCTGTAAGATCCCCTCTCTGTTGACCTGTAAGATCCTCTCTGTTGACCTGTAAGATCCCCTCTCTGTTGACCTCTAAGATCCTCTCTGTTGACCTCTAAGATCCTCTCTGTTGACCTGGAAGATCCTCTCTCTGTTGACCTGTAAGATAAGATCCTCTCCCTGTTGACCTGTAAGATACACTACCTGTTGACCTGTAAGATCCTCTCCCTGTTGACCTGTAAGATCCTCTCTGTTGACCTGTAAGATCCACTCTCTGTTGACCTGTAAGATCCTCTCTGTTGACCTCTAAGATCCCCTCTCTCTGTTGACCTCTAAGATCCCCTCTCTGTTGACCTGTAAGATCCTCGGTCTGTTGACCTGTAAGATCCACTCTCTGTTGACCTGTAAGATCCTCTCTCTGCTGACATGTAAGATCCTCTGTCTGTTGACCTGTAAGATCCTTGGTCTGTTGACCTGTAAGTTCCTCTCTCTGCTGACCTGTAAGATGCTCTCTGTTGACCTGTAAGATCCTCTGTCTGTTGTCCTGTAAGATCCTCGACCTGTTGACCTGTAAGATCCTGTGTTGTGTTGCAGTGGGATGACGCCGGCCCTGGCAGAGCTGGCGTACCTGAACAAGGCCAAGTGGCTGGAGATGTACGGAGTGGACATGCACATGGTCATGGTGGGTGTTCCCCATCTTCATTCTCAACCCGAGGCAGCTGATTGCATGTGACAATGCTGACACATTGTTTCACAGACTTGATTTACCTCCTGACAGGACATTATACAGTCAAATATCACATGGAACATCCATGATTTCACTTCAGAGTTTCTTATTTAGAGGACATTTAGTTACATATGTCCCCGAGGAAGTATAGAAGTGTAGCATTGTTTGCTTGTGTTCTTCAGGGTCGAGACGGCAACGAGTACAGCCTGGGCCTCACACCCACCGGAGTCCTAGTGTTTGAGGGCAAGCAGAAGATTGGTCTCTTCTTCTGGTAAGAAGCAAGTGTTAAGGATAGAAAAAATGAATGACTTAGAGTCGTCTCACTGTTTAGCTACTATATGCCAGAAATAATGTGGGGTTTTTTTGTAGCATGCAGACACATTTACAAAATCTAATGTCTTATCCTTCAGGCCAAAGATGACGAAGCTGGACTTCAAGGGAAAGAAACTCACACTTGTGGCTGTTGAAGACGATGAAACCGTGAGTAGGGCTTCATGTCAATATCAATACTAGGTCGAGAACGGATTCTATGTCCTGCTGAAACTGTAGTCAAAGTGTAGAGACAGGCAGAGTCCCTCTTAGCCCTCTTTATTGGTGAGACTGTACCTAGGAAGGCCAGGGTAAGATGGATATGACAGCCTTGTTAGTGACGAGACTGTACCTAGGAAGACCAGGGTAAGATGGATATGACGGCCTTGTTAGTGACGAGACTGTACCTAGGAAGGCCAGTGTAAGATGGATATGACGGCCTTGTTAGTGACAAGACTGTACCTAGGAAGGCCAGGGTAAGATGGATATGACGGCCTTGTTAGTGACGAGACTGTACCTAGGGAGGCCGGGGTAAGATGGATATGACAGCCTTGTTAGTGACGAGACTGTACCTAGGAAGGCCAGTGTAAGATAAATATGATGTCCTCTTTAGTGACAAGACTGTACCTGGGACATTGTTAACTCAACTCACTCATCTCACCTAGGTAGGCCAGGGTAAGATGGATGTTACACCCATGTTGTACGACTGTATGATGAGCATGGACTATTACAGGGTGCAAGTCAGGACCATGTGTTCGTGTTCCGACTGGCCAGCGACAAGGCGTGCAAGCACCTGTGGAAGTGTGCAGTAGAACACCACGCCTTCTTCCGACTGAAAGGCCCTGTCAAGGAGGGCAATGCCAGACAGAACTTCTTCCGGCTCGGGTCCAGGTTCAGATACAGGTAACACTTGCTGAGAAGAAGTCAGGGAGATGTTTGATTTAGATGAGGCTAGCTTGCTCTGTCATGCAACTTTCATTGACTCCTACACAGCTTGTAGCAAGAGATGTATTGTCCCTCTCAGAAATTGATATTCCTCTGCACCAGGATACACAGTGTCTAATTAAGATCATGTGAACCAATCAGATCTCAACGTTCACAAGGTAGGTGATGGCTGATTAAATAAAGGAGGACGTGTTATTGGAAGAAGAGAGCAATGTGGCAAGTTGGAGTGGGGATGAGGAACTGTATGATAATACTCACAAAGCCATCAGTGGAGTTTCCCATCGGTAATTGTCGGGATGGTTGTATTAGATATGTTTTGTTGTATTTGTCAATAAGGGTTAAATCTGAATCCCTATTGGTGGGTGTTTGGCCGGACATCAATGTTTCATGGACACTGTTTCCTTTCAGTGGTCGAACAGAATACCAGACAGCCACCGTGAGTCGAGCTCGCCGCAGCGTTAGATTCGAACGGAAGCCTAGTCACCGCTACTCTCGCCGGGCAACTTTCGAGCGAGCAGAACGAGAAGAGAAGATGAAACTGGCTCAAGAGAGAGCAGACAGAAAGAAGGTGGCCCAACAGAGTCGGGAAGCTATCCGAGCAGAGAAGAAAGAAACAACAATAGACGAACCCAGAGTAACAACTGTGGTTGTGGCTCCAGGAGCTGCTGCTGCTGCTGCTGCACCAACTGTGACTGTTGATGTCGCCGACGGCCCGACCAACACCTCAGCTCTCGATAGATTAGACACCTTAATCAAAGGAACGGCGGCAGACACTTCAATGAACTCTCTCAACAGGAAACCCAAATCTCCACGACCATCAACCAGTTCTACAGCTGCCAATGATGTTTCCATACGAGGTTTGTTCAATTCATGAATAGCAACACTGGAAATGTTGTCAGGCTAGGACTAAGCTTAGCGTTAGTTTGATGTATAGAATGTGATATGTAGACAAGCCTGACCTTCCCCATTCTTGAATCTAACCATCATTTACCTAAATCCTGAATTCTGGCCAAAATCATAATATTTAAGTCTTTCTTTTTTCAACTGAAGTCTCTTCATCATCAGCTGTCCATACTAAGTTGTACAAGGAATGGAATCCAGCTGCCTAGAACCATAACCTTCACATTTGTTCCCTCTGTGTGTCAGTGTTGACGACCTCAACAATTCTGACAGCTCTCACACTAGTAGTAAGGTCTAAGGGACAGACTTGTATCAGTATAGATTGCCGTACTAATCTGCAGACATTTAGGTCTTGCTTTTGTTGAGATATGCCAAGATTTACCACATGTAAGAATTCTGATATCTGAAGCATTTCCTGTGAGTTCTAGCCAGGTGCATCTGAACAAACCTTGGTACAGAGCTGATGTTAATCTGTTACAGAGGCATCAGAGTTTGCGATGGCGCGGATGAAGGTGTTGGACGACACAGCGCCGGTGGTGCTCAAACCCAAGCCAGATGTAAACACATTCCAGAACAACCAGGTCAAGTTTGCATCAACCAGCACGGCCACCATTCCTCCCGACCAGATGAAGTGCAACATCTTCAAGGCGAGGCATGAAGAAGACTTGAAGAAAGGTGAGGCAAGACTGTGTCAGGAAACATCAGTTTCTGACTGACTGTCAGATAGGAGGACTGACTTTGACTGACTTTGGTCTCATTGTCAGATAGGAGGACTGACTTTGACTGACTTTGGTCTCATTGTCAGCTTGGAGGACTGATTTTCACTGACTTTGGTCTGATTGTCAGCTTGGAGGACTGACTTTGGTCTCATTGTCAGCTTGGAGGACTGACTTTGGTCTGATTGTCAGCTTGGAGGACCGATTTTCACTGACTTTGGTCTGATTGTCAGCTTGGAAGACTGTCTTTGACTGACTTTGGTCTGATTGTCAGTTTGGAGGACTGGCTTTGACTGACTTTGGTCTGATTGTCAGTTTGGAGGACTGACTTTGGTCTGATTGTCAGTTTGGAGGACTGGCTGTGACTGACTTTGACTGACTTTGGTCTGATTGTCAGTTTGGAGGACTGGCTTTGACTGACTTTGATCTAGTTGTCAGATAGGAGGACTGGCTTTGACTGACTTTGGTCTGATTGTCAGTTAGGAGGACTGGCTTTGACTGACTTTGGTCTGATTGTCAGTTAGGAGGACTGACTTTGGTCTAATTGTCAGTTTGGAGGACTGACTTTGGTCTGATTGTCAGTTTGGAGGACTGACTTTGGTCTGATTGTCAGTTTGGAGGACTGGCTTTGACTGACTTTTGGTCTGATTGTCAGTTTGGAGGACTGACTTTGGTCTGATTGTCAGTTTGGAGGACTGGCTTTGACTGACTTTGGTCTAGTTGTCAGATAGGAGGACTGACTTTGGTCTAGTTGTCAGATAGGAGGACTGGCTTTGACTGACTTTGGTCTGATTGTCAGTTTGGAAGACTGACTTTGACTGACTTTGGTCTAGTTGTCAGATAGGAGGACTGGCTTTGACTGACTTTGATCTAGTTGTCAGACAGGAGGACTGGCTTTGACTGACTTTGGTCTAGTTGTCAGATAGGAGGACTGGCTTTGACTGACTTTGATCTAGTTGTCAGATAGGAGGACTGGCTTTGACTGACTTGGATCTAGTTGTCAGATAGGAGGACTCTCTTTGACTGACTTTGATCTAGTTGTCAGATAGGAGGACTGACTTTGATCTAGGTGTCAGATAGGAGGACTGACTTTGACTGACTTTGATCTAGGTGTCAGATAGGAGGACTGGCTTTGACTGACTTTGGTCTAGTTGTCAGATAGGAGGAGTACCTCATTTCTGATTGTCTTAGGTCTGGTTGTAGAACACTTGAATCACCCTGGTCTTGCTCTGATGTAGGGAGAGGTAAACTTCCAGAAACTGTTATCTCGTCACACATCTCGAATGATGAGCTTGGTCACTGAAGTAACCTGACTGACCACTCATCACAACTTATCTGTCTATACTGTCATGGGTCAGGATTCTTTCAACTAAGGGAAGTCACTCTGCTTTGTGAGCACCTGAGTTATCTGCCCCTACTTATCAGAAACAGACTTACACCAGCACATACCAATGTCTGTTTACAAGTGGCTGTGATTTACTTCCCCAGATAATGAAGTGGTTGCGTTGCCGCCAGGACCAGTGAAGGTTGTATCTATACCAATGTCTGTTTACAAGTGGCTGTGATTTACTTCCCCAGATAATGAAGTGGTTGCGTTGCCGCCAGGACCAGTGAAGGTTGTATCTGAGGCGGAGGACGACGACGATAAGGAGAGGTATGGCTGTATCTCTCGCCTGTGTTCTGTCTCACGTTGTATGTTGTACTGTACAACTTGTATCTGCATGGTAGACATCCTACTGAATGTGTATCTTGTAGATATAACACTGATCTCACTCACCATGTATGATGTGTATTTAACACGTTTGTTCACACCATTAATGTCTCAACACCTTCACACTGTGTTTATCAGCTGCTGAGAATATTGTTAGTTTGGAGAAGTAATCATGTCAGCTGACAGCTTCTTACCATCTTGAAGTCAAGCATTAGTTGCATTGCAGGGACAGTTAAATATCACCTGATCCTATAGCAGATTGACAATATTGATATGAGAGAATAGGGTGTTCTAGGACTTATCACCTGATCCTAGTAGCAGATTGACAATATTGGTTCAATACATGGGCAGAATGTGTGAAGCCCATTTCTGGTGTCCCCTCTAGTTGACTTCAGTTCAGGACTTCTTTTTGTTCAAGAAGAATGTCTTAAGGAAATAAATATGAACTAACCTACTTGAGACACCACCGTCAGAGTACATGAATGAAAGATGTTTAAACAAGCTCCACATTAAACCAACATGCAATATTAAATCTAACATCAGAACAAATAGGCATCCTCCTTGACTTGCTTCTGTAGTGTAGCCAGACAGGTCAGCAGCTTTAGTAGGGCAATAACACTGTGATACTTTCATAGGATCAGTAGGTCAGCAGCTTTAGTAGGGCAATAATACTGTGATACTTTCATAGGATCAGTAGGTCAGGCAGCTTTAGTAGGGCAATAATACTGTAATACTTTCATAGGATCAGGTGGTCAGGCAGCTTCAGTAGGGCAATAATACTGTAATACTTTCATAGGATCAGTAGGTCAGGCAGCTTTAGTAGGGCAATAATACTGTAATACTTTCATAGGATCAGTAGGTCAGGCAGCTTTAGTAGGGCAATAATACTGTAATACTTTCATAGGATCAGGTGGTCAGGCTCACTGACTTGGTTCACATGTGTCATCATATCCCAGTTGCGTAAAACGATGCTAATGCTGTTGACCACTGGATTGTCTGGTCCAGACTTGATTATTGACAGATCGCTGCCATACAGCTTATAACTAAACTCACTCAATCACTCACTTCACTTGTAGAGTCTATATCCTCAGAAAAATTAAAGAACAACCAATTTCTTAGATGACAAATGGCATTTTGACAACAGTCACATTAAAACATTGGGGTTTTTTTATTTATTTTAGTTGTATTGTCAGAGATACAGTTTCTGTGCTGCGATTACAGCATTTGAAGTGTACTGTATTTTATGTTGATTCTTGTGTCAGTAATTATCATTCCGCTTCATGACAGAAAGCTTTACAGGATATCAGCTGTATTACATGTGTTTTGTATTTGTCTGAACTTGTTCGTTTGAATATTTTGCTTCCATAGTGCTTATATATTGCATGTTTATTTGTGTAGTGTTTGTTAAGTTTTCAAAGTATCTATTTATAAGTAACATGTTGACACTCTAAAATATTTGTGTGCATATAGTTTGTCTCCCTAAGTGATATCATTCATTGATGTCTCTTAGGCAGCCTGGTTTTGCAGTCAAAACCTTTTTCATCAATATTTTTGTTGTTGTCTCTTTGGTACTTACATCATTTGTGTCATCAGTAAATGTAAGTTGATTTGTTGTACAGGATTGTCTCCCTTACTTTTACAAAGATCCACTTAAAGTGGACTCAAATTCCAAAATTGCCTTGCTTAGAATCCATGGTTTGTGAACCAACTCACTGACAAATTTTATGTTTTCTGTTTTATGTTTTATGATGTTGTCAATTGTGGTGATGTTTTGTGTGATTATGACATTGTGACTTGTAGTTTGATGATACTGATGTGTTTCTATCAGTGAAAATGTTCCTGTGAGTTTTAATGTAAAATGGGAGAAATCCAGTGTCTCCGATACCTGTGGTAAAACTGTTCAGTTGCAGCTTTTCAAATTGACCGAGACAAGTAGTCATTGTAGTCATGTGACCTGCCTGGTTGTGGGTCATGTGACCTGTAAGACTTCCCCATACTTTACAGGCCACACTTATGTGGCTGGAATATTGCTGACTACATCAAACAACATGCACTCACTCAAACAAAAAGTAATCTGTCAGGTTTCTTTGTCAATTTTTTCAGCAACGAGTTGATTTTGTTTTCTATTTGAAACGCTGTGACGTTGTCTCTACACCAACTGCTCTTCAGTTCTGTTGCTCTGTTTACATTCTCAGAGCTGACACCCTTGAATAACATTTATATTTTCCATACCTCAAACAAATATATTGCTTGGTGTGTTAACATTTAACACCATCATTCTGTCCGACTGTTGACTTTGCTTTTTAGAAGTGTATTTAACTCACATTAATCTCCACTGAGCCGTCGACATTTGGTAGCGAGCCAGTTTTACCACAGGTTACCCATCAACTGCATGTTTCTATGGCAACTGACCCTGCATGATGTACTTGCTTCCAGTGATAAGAACAGTGAGAGTGATGCCGATGAAAATGAGGACGTAAATTCGGAGAGTGAGGAAGAGGAAAGGTAGACCAGATGCCACTGTGATGTTCTAATCTGTAACACAGTACTACAGCATGGGAGTTTTACTAACAAGCATGGTTCTATTAATTAACAAACTTTAGTGACCATGAGTTCTCTCCCTTGACTGAATTATCTCCCTTGACCGAATTATCTCCTTTGACTGAAATATCTTACTGATTGTGTCATGAGATTCAAGATATGGAGTATCTGAATTCACTGTCTATTAAAGCTACTTGTCACAGATGCCCGATAATAGCATTAGGAGAAATGTCTTCGTTAAAAGCTACAAAGTAACAATTCTGGTTGGGAGGGTGTGATAGATACACATGTGTTCTGGACATTGTGTACATATTTTGGTGTCCCAGTCATTCATGACGATTATTTTACATTTCCATAATTCAGTCGTGTGGAGGGAAACTCATGGGAAACTAACCTTCCAGTGTTTTTATGCAGACATTTCTGACATCCTAGTATTTATTCTCTAAGATCCAACTCTCATTTCAGCATAACATCTTTACAATCTGCAGTCATGTATGCTCTCTGTATTTCATGAGTTATTTCGCATATAAACATCTGTATTATAGCCAACAACAGCACATCTTTTCACAATTTCCATCAAAACTTTCACAGTTACACTCTGATCTGTAATCATTTTTATGTCATTTTTCATTCAAATATATATTCTTATAGTAAAGAGATTTTTCCTAATAGACGACAGTCTCCAGGATTGCCATGTTTTGTGTAACTAAGATTAACCAGTTTGTGTCCATTTGGTCTTATGTTGTTCGAAGGGTTTCCCTACAATGTTTAAAGAATCTCACCCCAGGGTTCTTTGATATCAAATGTATCTAAGCATGTCAGTCAAACCTTGCATGTCAACAAGTTATAATCGTTTATCAACATGCGTTCTTGTATTTGACATCAAGAGACTCACAGGTCAGATTCTGTTTATCATGCGGATATGTAATTCTTCAGCGTGTTCAGTTTGTAATTAATAATAACACAACTAGTGTCTTAAATGTTCTGTCCTAACCAGCTTCCGTAGCAGATATATTGATGTCATGTGGTTGTGATGTCATAGTGGTCAGTGATGTCACTGTTGCCAACATTGTGACAATGGAGGACATCACTTGATCTCATGTTATATCTCCTGTAGAAACTGTGTTTGGATGGTTATCCAACAGTGCGAGAGGGGCGGTGGGGTAGCCTAATGGTTAAAGCGTTGTCTCGTCATGCCGAAGACCCGAGTTCGAATCCCCACATGGGTACAATGTGTGAAGCCCATTTCTGGTGTCCCCCGCCGTGATGTTGCTGGAATGTTGCTAAAAGCGGCGTAAAACCAAACTCAGTCAGTCAGTCAGCCAACAGTGCGAGACATGTATAAATCTGTCTCAATATTTCTTTGATGAATGAAATTGAACCTACTTGTCAGTAGTTAAAACAGTTGCTGATGATGACAACACTTGTTGGAATGTTAATACAAGTTATACATGTATAAGGAAAGCCTGCCTTCCCTTGTAGATAAACACCCTGCATGGTTGGACAAGTTAACAAGAACTACCCATTGTAGCTTAATGAATTAACACAGAAGATTGATGTGTTGGGGAACACTAGATGGGTTATTAAGGCCAACATGGTGTGATGATTGCTCCCATAAAGCATGCATGTATGTGATGTGTGTATAACCCTTATATTGTCATGTGTAGGGTGTGCATGGTGTAACATATAGCAGCATCTTGGACAATTGTATTTCAGATGTGTTACTATATACCTGTGGGTGATGCAGTGCTGGACAGGGTGTATTAGGATGCAGCATCATGCAGTATCACATCTCAATCATCAGATCATGCAGTATCACATCTCAATCATCAGATCATGCAGTATCACATCTCAATCATCAGATCATGCAGTATCACATCTCAATCATCAGATTACCCGTGAAGGTCCGGGTTAGAATATTGATCTTCAGTAACCCATGCTTGTTGTAAGAGGCAACTAATGGGATCGGGTGGTCAGGCTCGCTGACTTGGTTGACACATGTCATCGGTTCCAAATTGCGCAGATCGATGCTCATGCTGTTGTGGTAGAACTCCACTAAGGCATAGACTTACGATGTGGTAGAACTCAAATAAGGCATAAACTTACGATGTGGTTGAACTCCAATAAGGCATAAACTTACGATGTGTTAGGAATCCAGTGAGGGCAAACTTAGATTTGCAGTTTGGTAGATCTGCAGTAAGAGGTAGACTTACGTACATTAGAATTCCAGTAAGGTATAGACTTACGATGTTTTAGATCTCCAATGAGGGCTAGACTAGACTTGCAGTTTGGTAGATTTCCAGTGGGAGGTAGACTTACGATGTATTAGAACTAGAGTAACATTTAGACTAACAGTATGTTAGAACTACATTATGCGTAGACTTACATTGTGGTAGATCTACAGTACGAGGAGACTAGATTCGCGATATGCTAGAACTCTAGTAAGGCATAGACTTATGATGTAAATGCTAGAACTATATTAGTATGGTAGAACTCTAGTAAGGCATAGACTTATGATGTGGTGAATCTAGAGGAGGGGAGACTAGATTCACGATATGTTAGAACTGTAGTAAGGCGTAGACTTACGATGTGGTGAATCAAGAGGAGGGGAGACTAGATTCACGATAGGTTAGAACTCTAGTAAGGCGTAGACTTACTATGGTGGCATTTCTCCAGTTGCCCTAGACTGATGATGGTGGAAAGTAGATCATGGTGCCCAAACTGGGGGCAGGAGAACTGCAGCCATCTTTTGTTGGCGTAGATGTACATGGTTTCATTGTGGTTTGTTTCAGTCCATCGTTGAATGCTTCTCTCAATGCATCCAGTGTGGCACCAGACGATGTAGTGCACTTGGTCAAGCCGGTCAAGATAGTGCCAGCTGCACCCACCATCACCATGCCTGTTGTGCAGAACGGGTCAGTCAGTCTTATATCATCACTGTACCTAAGGTGATGCTGGTAACGCACGTTAGCAGCATCCCAACATGGCGGCAGGTAATTATTCCCCTTGAATTAGCAGTCTTCCACATGTATACAATCAACATTATTTAGCACACTGATAAACTTTGATGGTGGGAATACATTGAATGCACTGAATTTGCTTATTAGTGTCTACGTGTTCAAGAAAAAAGCATTTATAAAATCGTGCGAGGATGTCGGTAACTCAAAGTCTGGATGTCGGTAACTTGCAATGAATGATGCTGGTAACACATTCTGTCCTGCTTTAGTCGGTAAACAGAAACTGTCGAGTTTTGTTGAAATACAAAGGAGATACAAATATCAGTTGTTATGTTTTACACAGATGTGTACTGCTGCTACCTTTACAGTATGAGCGACTTTTTCTATGCGCCAGAGAGTTGTTGTGGCGTTTCATTGAACTTGAATGGATTGGATGTGTGTGCCCATTGTCCATTACGCTAAGACCTTTTTCTCTGTCCCTCTTCAATTCGGACATTTGACATGCTGATTTCGTTGCAATATTGATGTTTTAAATACATTTGACATCGTGTATTTATTGGGTAGGGTTGAATATATAAAGCTATATAGTCTGTCAGCTCAACTTTAGGGACTGCATATTTTGCACCTGTGTCTGTCACCTGTCAGACATCAAATGAACCCAGACTGAGTTGATCAAAACAATCAGGAAAAAATAAACATAGCTATAAAGATAATGTTGATTGTATACACGTGGAAGACTGCTAATTCGAGGTGAATAATCGCCAAGCGATCTTACCTGCCATCCATGTTAGGATGCTGGTAACGTGCGTTACCAGCATCACCTTAGGTACAGTGATCATGTGACCATACTTAAAATTTCTGGAAATGAGGTATTCAGTCCAGTATTCATTGTCCATAATGCTCCAAGAACCACCATCCAGATGTCTTTGAGGCACCAAGATCTGTATTGAAGGTCCTTGAGAATTCAGTATATTGATGTACCAAGTTCCACTATTTAGGTGTCCATGATGCACCAAGATCCAGTATTAAGGGTCTGTGTTGCACCAAGATCCAGTATTAAGGGTCTGTATTGCACCAAGATCCAGCATTAAGGGTCTGTGTTGCACCAAGATCCAGTATTAAGGGTCTGTGTTGCACCAAGATCCAGTATTAAGGGTCTGTGTTGCACCAAGATCCAGTATTAAGGGTCTGTTTTGCACCAAGATCCAGTATTAAGGGTCTGTGTTGCACCAAGATCAAGTATTAAGGGTCTGTGTTGCACCAAGATCCAGTATTAAGGGTCTGTGTTGCACCAAGATCCAGTATTAAGGGTCTGTATTGCACCAAGATCCAGTATTAAGGGTCTGTGTTGCACCAAGATCCAGTATTAAGGGTCTGTGTTGCACCAAGATCCAGTATTAAGGGTCTGTGTTGCACCAAGATCCAGTATTAAGGGTCTGTGTTGCACCAAGATCCAGTATTAAGGGTCTGTGTTGCACCAAGATCCAGTATTAAGGGTCTGTGTTGCACCAAGATCCAGTATTAGGGGTTGTAGTTGCACCAAGATCCAGTATTAAGGGTCTGTGTTGCACCAAGATCCAGTATTAAGGGTCTGTGTTGCACCAAGATCCAGTATTAAGGGTCTGTGTTGCACCAAGATCCAGTATTAAGGGTCTGTGTTGCACCAAGATCCAGTATTAAGGGTCTGTGTTGCACCAAGATCCAGTATTAAGGGTCTGTGTTGCACCAAGATCCAGTTTTAGGGGTTGTAGTTGCACCAAGATCCTGTATTAAGGGTCTGTGTTGCACCAAGATCCAGTATTCAAGGTCCTGAGCCACCAGGGCACATTATCTATGTTCTTGAGGCAGCAAGCTCCTTCAACTCTTCTTGCCAGACCAAAACTTTCCTGACTATTCCCATGTTGTGAGACACGTTCTGCTGACACTGTAATGGTCTGTTTCAGCTACAGCAGTATGGAGAGACGCAGTAAGCCGAGCACATCAAGCACCTCCTCGCACACGTCACACACCTCACACAATCGCACTCTCAGTCAGACAAGTGACACCACGGAGAAGAATCGCAAACTAAGTCAGAATAGTGACGTTTTCGTCAGCATCAGTCCGAACAGTGTTATTGGTGTTCCACAGGTAAATCACTTCCAAGCATATCACTGGGTAACACCTGTCAAGGTGGAGGGTGTCCTTGTTAGTAAATGTAAAGGTACCAGGTCTATAGGTGGAGGGTGTTCTGGTGTTGGTGAATGTAAAGGTGCAGGTCCTGTGTTGGAGCAGGGGTGTCCTGTGTTTGTGGAGGGGTGGCCCGTGTTGGTGCAGGGGTGTCCTGTGTTGGAGCAGGGGTGTCCTGTGTTGGAGCAGGGGTGTCCTGTGTTGGAGCAGGGGTGTCCTGGGGAAGGCCCGTGTTGGAGCAGGGTCCTGTGTGGCAGGGGTGTCCTGTGTTGCAGGGGTGTCCTGTTGGAGCAGGGGTGGCCCGTGTTGGAGCAGGGGTGGCCCGTGTTGGAGCAGGGGTGGCCCATGTTGGAGCAGGGGTGGCCCGTGTTGGAGCAGGGGTGGCCCGTGTTGGAACAGGGGGTGGCCCGCGTTGGAGCAGGGGTGGCCTGTTGGCAGGGGTGGCCCGTGTTGGAGCAGGGGGTGGCCTGTGTTGGAGCAGGGAGCAGGGGTGGCCCGTGTTGGAGCAGGGTGGCCCGTGTTGGAGCAGGGATGGCCCGTGTTGGAGCAGGGGTGGCCCGTGTTGGAGCAGGGGTGGCCTGTGTTGTTGGAGCAGGGTTGGCCTGTGTTGGAGCAGGGGTGGCCTGTGTTGGGAGCAGTGGCCCTGTGTTTGAGCAGGGTGGCCTGTGTTGGACAGGATTTCCTGTGTGGCCTGAGTGGGGATGTCCTGTGTTTGAGCAGGGGTGGCCTCAGAGCTTGACATATTCTGTGTTGGTGGAGGGTGTTAGTGTTGTCTTGTGTATTGACATGTCAAGTATAGATCAAGGTATGGTGTATATATCAAGCGGTGCTGTGTATTGACATGTCAAGTATAGATCAAGGTATGGTGTATATCAAGCAGTGCTGTGTATTGACATGTCAAGTATAGATCAAGGTGTGGTGTATATCAAGCAGTGCTGTGTATTGACATGTCAAGTATAGATCAAGGTGTGGTGTATATCAAGCGATGCTGTGTATAGACATGTCAAGTATAGATCAAGGTATGGTGTATATCAAGCGGTGCTGTGTATTGACATGTCAAGTATAGATCAAGGTATGGTGTATATCAAGCGATGCTGTGTATTGACATGTCAAGTATAGATCAAGGTATGGTGTATATCAAGCAGTGCTGTGTATTGACATGTCAAGTATAGATCAAGGTATGGTGTATATCAAGCAGTGCTGTGTATTGACATGTCAAGTATAGATCAAGGTATGGTGTATATCAAGCAGTGCTGTGTATTGACATGTCAAGTATAGATCAAGGTATGGTGTATATCAAGCAGTGCTGTGTATAGACATGTCAAGTATAGATCAAGGTATGGTGTATATCAAGCAGTGCTGTGTATAGACATGTCAAGTATAGATCAAGGTATGGTGTATATCAAGCAGTGCTGTGTATTGACATGTCAAGTATAGATCAAGGTATGGTGTATATCAAGCGATGCTGTGTATTGACATGTCAAGTATAGATCAAGGTATGGTGTATATCAAGCGATGCTGTGTATTGACATGTCAAGTATAGATCAAGGTATGGTGTATATCAAGCGATGCTGTGTATAGACATGTCAAGTATAGATCAAGGTATGGTGTATATCAAGCGTGCTGTGTATTGACATGTCAAGTATAGATCAAGGTATGGTGTATATCAAGCGTGCTGTGTATTGACATGTCAAGTATAGATCAAGGTATGGTGTATATCAAAGCGATGCTGTGTATTGACATGTCAAGTATAGATCAAGGTATGGTGTATATCAAGCGATGCTGTGTATTGACATGTCAAGTATAGATCAAGGTATGGTGTATATCAAGCGTGCTGTGTATTGACATGTCAAGTATAGATCAAGGTATGGTGTATATCAAGCGGTGCTGTGTATTGACATGTCAAGTATAGATCAAGGTATGGTGTATATCAAGCGTGCTGTGTATTGACATGTCAAGTATAGATCAAGGTATGGTGTATATCAAGCGGTGCTGTGTATTGACATGTCAAGTATAGATCAAGGTATGGTGTATATCAAGCAGTGCTGTGTATTGACATGTCAAGTATAGATCAAGGTATGGTGTATATCAAGCAGTGCTGTGTATTGACATGTCAAGTATAGATCAAGGTATGGTGTATATCAAGCGGTGCTGTGTATTGACATGTCAAGTATAGATCAAGGTATGGTGTATATCAAGCGTGCTGTGTATTGACATGTCAAGTATAGATCAAGGTATGGTGTATATCAAGCAGTGCTGTGTATTGACATGTCAAGTATAGATCAAGGTATGGTGTATATCAAGCAGTGCTGTGTATTGACATGTCAAGTATAGATCAAGGTATGGTGTATATCAAGCAGTGCTGTGTATTGACATGTCAAGTATAGATCAAGGTATGGTGTATATCAAGCAGTGCTGTGTATTGACATGTCAAGTATAGATCAAGGTATGGTGTATATCAAGCGATGCTGTGTATTGACATGTCAAGTATAGATCAAGGTATGGTGTATATCAAGCAGTGCTGTGTATTGACATGTCAAGTATAGATCAAGGTATGGTGTATATCAAGCAGTGCTGTGTATAGACATGTCAAGTATAGATCAAGGTATGGTGTATATCAAGCGGTGCTGTGTATTGACATGTCAAGTAGTATAGATCAAGGTATGGTGTATATCAAGCAGTGCTGTGTATTGACATGTCAAGTATAGATCAAGGTATGGTGTATATCAAGCGGTGCTGTGTATAGACATGTCAAGTATAGATCAAGGTATGGTGTATATCAAGCGTGCTGTGTATAGACATGTCAAGTATAGATCAAGGTATGGTGTATATCAAGCAGTGCTGTGTATTGACATGTCAAGTATAGATCAAGGTATGGTGTATATCAAGCAGTGCTGTGTATTGACATGTCAAGTATAGATCAAGGTATGGTGTATATCAAAGCGTGCTGTGTATAGACATGTCAAGTATAGATCAAGGTATGGTGTATATCAAGCGTGCTGTGTATAGACATGTCAAGTATAGATCAAGGTATGGTGTATATCAAGCGATGCTGTGTATAGACATGTCAAGTATAGATCAAGGTATGGTGTATATCAAGCGTGCTGTGTATTGACATGTCAAGTATAGATCAAGGTATGGTGTATATCAAGCGATGCTGTGTATAGACATGTCAAGTATAGATCAAGGTATGGTGTATATCAAGCGCGTGCTGTGTATAGACATGTCAAGTATAGATCAAGGTATGGTGTATATCAAGCGATGCTGTGTATAGACATGTCAAGTATAGATCAAGGTATGGTGTATATCAAGCAGTGCTGTGTATAGACATGTCAAGTATAGATCAAGGTATGGTGTATATCAAGCGATGCTGTGTATTGACATGTCAAGTATAGATCAAGGTATGGTGTATATCAAGCGTGCTGTGTATTGACATGTCAAGTATAGATCAAGGTATGGTGTATATCAAGCTGTGCTGTGTATTGACATGTCAAGTATAGATCAAGGTATGGTGTATATCAAAGCGTGCTGTGTATTGACATGTCAAGTATAGATCAAGGTATGGTGTATATCAAGCGTGCTGTGTATTGACATGTCAAGTATAGATCAAGGTATGGTGTATATCAAGCGTGCTGTGTATTGACATGTCAAGTATAGATCAAGGTATGGTGTATATCAAGCTGTGCTGTGTATTGACATGTCAAGTATAGATCAAGGTATGGTGTATATCAAGCAGTGCTGTGTATTGACATGTCAAGTATAGATCAAGGTATGGTGTATATCAAGCAGTGCTGTGTATTGACATGTCAAGCATAGATCAAGGTATGGTGTATATCAAGCGTGCTGTGTATTGACATGTCAAGCATAGATCAAGGTATGGTGTATATCAAAGCGTGCTGTGTATTGACATGTCAAGTATAGATCAAGGTATGGTGTATATCAAAGCAGTGCTGTGTATAGACATGTCAAGTATAGATCAAGGTATGGTGTATATCAAGCGTGCTGTGTATTGACATGTCAAGTATAGATCAAGGTATGGTGTATATCAAGCGTGCTGTGTATAGACATGTCAAGTATAGATCAAGGTATGGTGTATATCAAGCGGTGCTGTGTATTGACATGTCAAGTATAGATCAAGGTATGGTGTATATCAAGCTGTGCTGTGTATAGACATGTCAAGTATAGATCAAGGTATGGTGTATATCAAGCGTGCTGTGTATTGACATGTCAAGTATAGATCAAGGTATGGTGTATATCAAGCGATGCTGTGTATTGACATGTCAAGTATAGATCAAGGTATGGTGTATATCAAGCGTGCTGTGTATAGACATGTCAAGCATAGATCAAGGTATGGTGTATATCAAGCAGTGCTGTGTATAGACATGTCAAGTATAGATCAAGGTATGGTGTATATCAAGCGATGCTGTGTATAGACATGTCAAGTATAGATCAAGGTATGGTGTATATCAAGCGGTGCTGTGTATAGACATGTCAAGTATAGATCAAGGTATGGTGTATATCAAGTTAATAGACATGTCAAGTATAGATCAAGGTATGGTGTATATCAAGCTTTATGCTGTGTATTGACATGTCAAGTATAGATCAAGGTATGGTGTATATCAAGCTGTGCTGTGTATAGACATGTCAAGTATAGATCAAGGTATGGTGTATATCAAGCCGTGCTGTGTATTGACATGTCAAGCATAGATCAAGGTATGGTGTATATCAAGCGTGCTGTGTATTGACATGTCAAGTATAGATCAAGGTATGGTGTATATCAAGCAGTGCTGTGTATAGACATGTCAAGTATAGATCAAGGTATGGTGTATATCAAGCAGTGCTGTGTATTGACATGTCAAGTATAGATCAAGGTATGGTGTATATCAAGCGGTGCTGTGTATTGACATGTCAAGTATAGATCAAGGTATGGTGTATATCAAGCGTGCTGTGTATTGACATGT